AATAAAAAATAGGGAATGCCGTTTAAAAAAATTGAGGTGACTTTCATGTGATATTCAAATAATTCTTCAAGGTCAAAGCAATGGTACCATCTTATGGTCCCCTCGAAACCAAACAACTTTTGTCTGAAAAATTTTTCTCTCCCGTGCTTGGTTTTCGACATATTCGACTGGATGGATTAAAATGGTCCACCTTGTATATATATATATATATACAATTTTCCGTATTCAAAAACTCCAAAGATTTTTCAAAAAATATTTACTCAAAAAAATAAATACCGCTATGAAGAGAATTAAAATACCTTTGAAATGATATATTATTTGACCTTTATTACTATTAAAGATTTTTGGGGGTAGCCACCCCATTTAGGGGGTGATGTAGTTAAATTTATCACAATCATATAGTTTTCTTCAAAACAATATTGACGTGTGTGGACATCTTTGACAAAAATCAATTGGTTGCAGAATAATCGGGATGGAAAGTTTTCGTTGACGAGCCCTGTATATTCGGACATCGTTATTTGACCTTTCGCGCAAGATACAAAACTACGTCACGGATGGCGGTAGGTAGGAAGGTGCTGCCCAGCAGGAAGGTGATAGCTACGACGTGATCACGTTAGCAATGACGCCAGGGTATCCCAACGGGTCGATAACAATGAGACCGACAACGAGCGCCGTCCGGAATATTCCGGAGCGTCGTCTCGCCTCTCTTTCTCGGCGCCACTCATCTTTTTGCCGCTCACTCTTTTTGCCAAATTTTTATTCCTCCCGTTGTAAATCCCTTACGATCTCTTAGTCCGCCCCCTAACCGCTCCTGTTTCAATTAGTTAATGCCTGTAGTAAAAAGAGAGAGAGAGAGAGAGAGAGGAAGGAAGGGCGTCCTAACACGCGTTTTCACGCGGGAAATCGCGAGAAGAAATCTGCCCGCGAAGCGACTCGTGATATACGAGCCTCGATAAATTGAATTTGTTCGAAACGAATACCGGTAGTGTGCGGGTAATTCGGTACCGTAATTCCAGTGTCGATAATACAGAAGTGGCGTTCGCGAGGTTCTTCTTACCGTCGGCTAATCGTTCACCGGTATTCTCCACTTTACTCGCAAGAGATCCGTCGCATTGAGAGAAAGGCAGATATAATGAAATTATTCGGAAAGATTTCCGATCACAATAATCCCGTTATTCGCCGGGTTTCCACTGCGTTATCCAGGAAAAGCAGGATTATTGTGCGAGTGAGGATTTTTTCGGACAGTTTATAACACCTGACC